CAGCTCCTCCAGAAACTTGGGCCCCTGGCGGGGCAAGGTGCGGGCGTTGGTAGAGTTACGAACTTGGGGGTGGATTACGCGGCGGGCCGTTCCTTGAGGGCTCCTGGCCGCGGCCGTGCGGCCAAGTTTAAAGCTCGCATCGCGTCCGCGCTTCGCAAGACCAGGAGGCTCAGAAAGATCGGGGACGTTCTCGGGAGGCGCAGCTTGAAGGTCTTTGCTGCTGGGCCTTTGGCTGGCGGTACCTTCGGGTCTGACATTTTCGGGGTGTCCGATGGAGAGCTCCTGACCTTGCGTCGTGCTGCCTTGTCTTGTATCAAGCCACGCTCGCAAGGGAGACCCCTTGCGGTGCTCAGCCTGCTCGAGGGTGACCCGTGCTGGCGAGCGAGTGTGGCGCCGATAATCAGATGTCCTAAAGAGATCTGGCTTTGTCACACTCGTGCTTTCCCGTGGTGTTTGTCTTGGGCGGCCATGCGAGAGGGCTGGATACAGACCTTCAGCCACGACGTCCACTCGTGGTCCAAGGTTCGCGGGCCGCTCTCGGCTCTCCGCATGTGCATCTACCGTCTGGGGTGGGATATGCCTGATTTTACCACCCTCAGGGACGACTTTGGTAGGGACATTTCGCTCGCGCCCCCCCCCCCCCCGTCTTGTTAAGGTCTTGTGTCGTGACGCGGTGCTCAGGAACCTTGAGCGGGATTCTGGAGACAAGTACGGGGTGGGGTATCGGCTTTGTTGGGATGTTGTCAAGCAGCAGCTCTCGTCGTCCAAGATCCCTGCCAAGGCCAAGGGTGTCATGAGAGCTCAAGCTGTCGAGCGCTTTGGACAGGAGCTGATGCTGAGGCGGCTGGATACGTCGAGGTGCCCAGTCTCTGCCCTTTGTGTGGTGTAGCAAAGGACACCTTGCATCATCGTCTTTTTTGCTGCTCGGCGGTCGTCGAGATGCGCAAGGAAGTACTTCCCGACTGGCTTGTGGATGCCGCCTGTGATACTTCGGACCCTGAATATGAGGAAGAGTTGTTTCTGTATGGGGCGTTCCGTCACCCAGGAGATGTTGCCCCAAAGCCGCTGTGTGATGGTGGTGTCTCTCTTGTGTGGCACGTCGAGGACCTCCCTCCTCCTCCCCCCGCGTGTGGTGCTGACAGGGTGGCTCCAGGGGATAGCTTGTGGGGATATCTGGTTATGGGCGGCTCTTGCCACAGACATGTGGTTAAAGAACTGTCTCGCGCGGGCTGGGCTGTCGCTATGGTGGGGAATGATGGCGAGCTCCTAGGTGCTCTGAAGGGGCCTGTGTGGGCCCCCTGGCCCCAGACTTCTCAGGCTGCCGAGTATGCTGCTTTCGCGTTCTGTGGGGCCTATGCCGACGCTCCGTCCGTGTGCTACAGTGACTGTCAGAATGTTGTGGACCACGTAGCGCTAGGTGCTGATGCGCTTAGTGGCAAAAGGCAGTACACTGGACTTGTGTTGCAAGGCAAGCACCATTTTGGTAGTCACCCGTGTGCGCTTCACAAAGTAGCGGCCCACAGGGATGTCGATGAAAGCGGCATCTCAGCCAGTGAACGTTTCCGACGACTCGGCAATCACTTTGCTGACCAGGCTGCCAAAGAGGCGGCTCGTGCGCACCCCTCCTTGACTCCGATTGAGGCTGAAGAGCTCAATAGGAAGATCAGGATTGCGCGGCTGGTCTTAAAAGCTGGGTCTGTTTTGCTTCCATTGTGGCCGCGTCTTGAATTTCGCGGCACCGCCAGGTCCGGGCCTCCCCCCGCTCCTCGGCACCTTTCTCTGGCTGTTGGGCACTCGTGGGTGCAGGTTGGGCCCTTCTGGCAGTGCCGAGTTTGCCTTGAGGGCTCTCGGGCGCGGGCCCCTCCTCCTGGGGACTGTCCTGGTCACTCCAGGTTGGACCAAGGTGTGCTGCTGAGGCTGGGGCACAAGGTTGTAGCCTTCCCCTGCTCAGACTTCTCGGATTTATTTGTTTACTTGTCGTGCAAGTTTTACAGTAGCGGCTCGCAAATTCTCAAGCTCGGCAAGGAGTGTGGTCAGCCCACAGTCACGTCAATGCGCAAATTGCGCAAGCTCCAGAAGGGCTTGCATCCTGACAAAGCTCAGGTGACGGTTGACATTGATGACTTTGTCGCTTTGCTTTAGGAGCTTGGCTCCTCGGCGCCTGTCTGAGCCCCGGACAGGTGTGTCAGTCACTGCAGGGGGCATGGGCGTTGCTGCCAAAAAAAAAGAGGAGGAGGAGGAGGAGGAGGAGGAGGAGGAGGGGGGAGGAGGAGGAGGTGTATCTGTCCGCTTCCTCCGACCGATGGGCAGCTCGCTCTCGCGGGCCCCCCCCCCCGCAGCTCGTTGGCGGGGGCGGCGGCGCAGGCGGAGCCACGAGGGCCCTGGCCGTCGAGAGGGGACCGGGGCTCCGCGTGGCAGCGCGCGGCCTCCCTGCGCGCTGGTGTTAAATCGGGCCTGTCCCCCTACAGGGGGATTTACGACGAGAAATGGAACATACATTAAAAATCCAGAACGAAGCCAGAAGTAATCCAGAAAATAGTCCAACAATAATCCAGAAATAGTCCAAACATAATCCAGAAATTTCAGCTTGGGACTATGCTTCGAGTATGTTTTGACCCTTTTGGTGTCTTTTTGGGGTATTCTTTCTTTTTCGTCGAAGATGCCACTGTAGGGGGGCACGCCCGACAGAAGTATAGCCAGGACCCCAGGTAAGGGGACCCCGTTAGTAGTAGGGCCCTGAAGCCCCTAGATTGGCCAGGATCACCAAGCCAGGTCTGCCGTGGCTGTTGTTTTTTCGGGTGACGGCGGTTCCGGTGAGTGGAACGGGGCGGGGGGGCGTCTTTCAGTACACATCACTGACCAGGTCCCACTCAACCCAGTTCTGCCGACGCCCGACTCTGTGCTCCGCCGCACGCAGAGGCGGTGGGTCGAAGAAGAAAAACTGCACAAGCAGAAACTTTTGTGGCGCTCCGCGCGGACTTCTTGGATCCGCGAGGGGGCCCCCTGGCGTCGCCTCCAGCGCCGCCCCTGGCGCGCGGAGCGCGCCAGAGAGGGGGTTATAGCCTTAAGTAAGGCCTGTCCCTCTACAGGAGGAATTTTCCAACATGTTTTCTTGATATAAGAAATTCAAAAACAGAATCTGGTGACGACTTTGCCACGAATTCTGTCTATTTTGAATATTTTCCTGAGCATTTTTGATTTGTCGTCCAAAATCCGCCTGTAGGGGGACATGACCGACCTAATTCTAGCCCAGATCCAAGAAATCCGCGCGGAGCGCCACAAGCCTCTGTCCATGCTGTTTTTTCTTCTGGCCACACGCAGGCGGGGGGGGGTGCGAGGGGGCCAGGGCGCGGTCCGCATCTACAGATGCAGGGCCGGCGCCTCCTGAGAAGCAGTCTCGCAAGAGGCCTTCCCTCATCTCTCCACCCTCAAGTCGGGCGTGTCCCTCTACAGGGGGAATATTCAAAAGTAATGAAAAAATTAGGGGACGATTTTTGACAATGTTTGAGTATGCGGCGTTTTTATTTGATTTGTTTTGAATAAAAAATTTGGTATGTTGTATTTTTCACCCAAAATGCCCCGACAGGCCCGACTTAGCTCCACCCCCCTTGTGCGCGCTGCCGTGTTTGCCTCTGTGGCGCACGGCGCACCGACAGGTGGCACGGCGCGCCTTGGCTCTTGCGCGAGGGGGCCGGGAGGGACGCCTCGGAGCTGCCTCGGAGGCCGTGTTGGCCCATCTTTCGGAGGTGGATAGATCTCCTACCCTTAGGTCGGGCAGGTCCCTCTACAGGAGGAACACTCCAAAGCAGTCACAAGAATGTCTGGGAAGGAGGTTTTGACTATGTTTGTCAATTTGGATGCATGTTTTGATTGTTTTTTCGCCCAAAGTCCGCCTGTAGGGGGACATGCCCGACCTAGTCCTACCCTGACACGTCGATCAAGGAGTTGGCCGTTTTCGGTTCGCGAGAGGGCGTCGCGGCCGTCATTTCTGCGGGTCCAGGTCCGTCGGTTTCGGTCCCAGGCCGTTTTCACCAATGGGAGGTTTACTAAAGGGAGGTTTGTCCCCCGCCGATTCTTAGGGGCGTCTGGGGCCCTCTTGGGGGTCCTCAAGTGTCTCCTGGAAGCCTCTGGTGCCCATCTCGGGTACATGTTGGGCTGGAAGAGCGGCAACAATGTGGGAATTCCTTGGGCAGTAGAAGTACTTCGTCGTACGCCATGAAGCGATTACGAACCCCCCTCTCCCCCCCCTTCCGGTGAAACGATGACGCATTTAGCACCCGGAAGCGTTATCCTGGCAGCCCGAGGATGAGAGGAGGAGGAGGAGGAGAAGGAGGAGAAGGAGGGAGGATTGTTCCAGCACGCCGAAGGGGTAGTCAGTTTTCAGTGTCATCATGACATTTCGCATCTTCGGCGTTCAATGCCCTTGCGTTCTTACTGTCAATCCTTACCAGCTCTAGATGTCGGTCACGGGGAGCGGGGAACCATTCGTTTTTTTGTCGTTTCTTTTTGTTGTTTGTGTTTTTGCGGTTTGCTGCGAAAATGAGATTCTGCTCTGCTAAATCCGCCCCCGCGAATGATCTGTTTCCGTTTCGGTGCGAACCATAACACAGGGTTTTGTTTTAATCGGTTCATGAGGTTATCGTGGGTTGTTTGCAGATCATCATGGGCCCCCCCCGCCTCAGAAGCCTCTTGGAGAGCTTGGAATCCTTCTTTCGCCGTGTTGGAATACGTGCTCACGGGGGAGACCAGGGTGGGGGAGGGGGAGCGGGAAGATCAGCGGGGGGTGGGGGCGTCGGCGACGATGATGACGACGAACGACCTCAGAAGTGACCGACGTGCGACTCACGAATGCACGAACTCAAGGCTCCGAGCTATAACTAGAACACAGCTGTGCGAGAAAAAACTGTCCCCTCTTTCCCGCCTGGTCCTTCCCTTCACTTCTCTGCTATGGGGGTAGGGGTGGGGGCAATTCTTCATCCTCTCCTTGTGGAGCTGCCAAGGTGCAAGCCAACCCTTCTGCAGTCTCGGGATCGGCGCCTACTTTGCCGCTCTACCTCGAGGTTGCAGTCAAGTCCAACGTCGACGTGTTCTACATGAACATCCCGTACGACCTCTCGGCTGTGCTGGCGGAGGGTGTTGTCGTTCCGAAGGACATCTTCCAAAAGACGTGGACGACGATACCCGCCGAGCAGAAGGCGAGAGTGCGCGGCCAGTTCGGTGCGAGGGTTACCCCGGACATGATCAGCGGGAGAATGCGGCAGTATTACGTCAATATGGTGGCGCGCATGCCCGGCCAGGACGGGGAGATCATGTATTTCTCAGCTCAGACCGTGAACAAGATGACGATATACTGCGAATTGTTAGTGCAGGCGTCGGGGCCCGGAGTGCAGCTCACCAGCTGTTCCACCGCTCCGCCACTGGTGCCGCTCTTCCAGAGCTTTATCTCGGAGCTTCTTCGCGTAAGGTGGGCGTGAAAAAATGCGTTGCATTTTCTTCCCACGTGATTTTAGCACTGATGTTGCGCGAGCGCGCTCTCTCTCTCTCTCTCTCTCCCTCTAGCGTATACACGCAACCTTTGGCCCCCTCTCTCAATCTCTCTCTCTCTCTCTCTATTCTCTCCGCCTCCGCCTCCCTCTTTCTCTCTCTCTCTCTCCATCCCGCCCCCTACTCTCTAGATCTCAATGCCTGCAGGCTCAAACCACCGACGACTCGAGCGTTTGAGTCGCCAGCCCCTAGAGCTCTCGACCCATTCCCCCAGACTGTTTCCCCCCATATCCTAAGCACATGGATTTTGTGATTGGTGTGCCGTCTCCTCCATCCTCCTTTTTCTCACTCCCACTCAGACTCACTCACACTCAGACTCACTCATAGTGAGTCGCACTCACACTCAGATCCACTGATACTCAGACTCACTCTCAGTCGGATCCATGCATATCCAGATTTTCAGACCCATTCGCACAAAGCACTTACACCATACTCATTCACACTCAGACTACTTATATTCAGACCTAGCAACACTCCGCCACTCTTACTCAGACCCACTCATACTCGCGCCTTACACGAAGGGCCCACTCATGATCACCGACCTGTAGCAGGCGTGACACTTCCGGGGGAGCCGCCAGGGGTGGTTTCTCGCGCACAGATTGTGGGGGTGTATCAGGCGGTTCGCCTTTTCCGGCGCCTCGAATCCATCTCTTTTGATAGCCCCATGGTCACCGCAGCTTGCGCGATCATCTCCTGCTGAGGAGGAGGAGGGAGGAGGACGAGGAGAAGGAGTGGGAGGAGGAGGAGGAGGAGGAGGAGGAGGAGGAGGAGGATGAGGAGGATGAGGAGGAGGATGAGGAGGAGGAGGAGGACGAGGACGAGGAGGAGGAGGAGGAGAAGGAGGAGGAGGAGGAGGAGGAAGAGTGAGGGAGAAGGAGAAGGAGGAGCAGGAGGAGGAGGACGAGGAGGAGGAGGATGAGGACGAGGAGGAGGAGGAGGGGGCAGGGAGGAGAAGGATGAGCAGGACATCCTCCTCCTCCTCCTTCTCCTCCCTGCCTCCCTCCCTCCCTCTCTTCCTTTCATCGGCCCCTCGACATTCGACGAGATGGTTTCCTCAGTCCTTGGCCCCAGCCACCGACCCCCTTCGCTGGTGAGTACCTCTTCGTCCCGGATGTGTTATGATTGCACCGGGGCTCGGTGACCGGCCCCAGAGGCTGAAATCGAGGTCTCAAACGCCCGGGTTGGATCAGGAACACCTCCTCGGAGATCTGCCTCCCCCCTCATTCCCCCTCCCCCTCCTCCCCCTCTCCTTCTCCTCCTCTTCCTCCTGCTCTCCCTCTCCTCCTCCCCCTCCTCCTCCTCCTCCTCCCCTCCTCCTCCTCCTCCTCCTCCTCCTCCTCCTCCTCTTCCTCCCTCTCCTCCTCCTCCTCCTCCTCATGCTCCTCCTCCTCCTCCTCCTCTCCTCCTCCTCCTGCTCCTCTCTCCTCCTCCTCCTCCTCCTCTCCTCCTCCTCCTCCTCCTCCTCCTCTCATCCCATTCTCTCTCTCCTCCTCGTCCACCTCCTCTTCCTCCTCCCTCCTCCTCCTCCTGCTCTCCTCCTGCTCCTCCTCCTCCTCCCTCTCCTCCTCCTCCTCCTCCTCCTCCTCCTCCTCCTCCCTCCTCCTCCTCTCTCCTCCTCCTCCTCCTCCCCCTCCCCCTCCTCCTCCTCCTCCTCCTCCTCTCCTCCTCCTCCTCCTCCTCCTTCTGCTTCCTCCTACCTCCTCCCCCCTCCTCCCCCTCCACCTTCCCCCTCCTCCCCCTCTCTTTCCCCCCTCCTCTTGGCCTTCCACCCCTTCCCCGCAGAGCCCGCGGAGGCGCTGCAGTCGCCGACGCGGGGGATCCGCGGGCCACCGCCCGCGGTGCAGCAGGACGCGCGGGGGGGGGGGGGGCTTGCGCCTGTCCCGGCATCCCCCCGCAGTTCATGAGAGGGAGAGGGGGGGGGGTCAGGATGAAGCAGGAGGACGACGGAGGAGGGAGGGAGGGAGGAGGGAGGAGAGAGGAGGGAGGGAGGGAGGGAGGGAGGGAAGGAGGTCAGGAGGAAGGAGGAGGAGGAGGAGGAGGAAGTAGGAGGAGGAGGAGGAGGAGGAGGAGGAGGAGGAGGAGGAGGAGGAGGAGGAGCAGGGAGGGAGGGAGGGAGGGAGGGAGGGACGGAGGGAGGGAGGGAGGACACCCATGTGCCGCGGCCTTTTTTTAGTTAGCAAGGATCCATGGCCCAGCAATGGGGCGGAAACGACCTTTCTGCGGCGGCTCTGGAAGGCAAGCCGCCAGCGCTGGAGGGGGGAGGAGGGCTTGCGTTGGCATACGCCTCCTCGGCAGGCGCCTCGGCACCGTGCCCTGGCCAGCGGCGTAGCCGGAGAGCCATTGAGAGATTCCCCGCGCCGTGGGTGGGCAGCGCCTGGCAGGGAGCGCCTGCACCGAACTCGTCCTACAGCGGAAGCCCATGCCAAGAAGCAGCCTGCTTGCCTCCAGGGTGCCCCGGGTTTATCATGCTGCCATGGTTCTGCTGTGAAGGGTGCGACGCCCCACTGGACGTCCTGAGGTCTCAGGGTGGGGCTTCTTGTGAAAGGTCTCTCGTGGTCGGGCCCCTACTTTGTCACACCTGCACCTCGTCGACGTACAGTCGGGGCGCTGAAGAAGAAAACCTTTTCGTTGGGGAGGGGCTCGGTGTTCCTCGATTGTTTCACAGTTTGCCTTTGGCTTTCCGTAGGTGTTCCATGGGACATCGAAGGTTAATTTATGGATGTAAGCGGCCTCGTTCCTTGTTCAGGGTTCCTTAGGTCAACGCCCCGACTGTACCTCGTGGGCACGAGGCGGCGGCAGGAAGAGAGAGAGGAGGAGCCACCCCAAGGGGGGAGGGAGGGGGAGGGGCCAGGATGCCCTGCCCGAGCCGTCCCGCCCGCCCGAGGCGCCGGGCTCGGTGTAAGTCGGGCCTGTCCCCCTACAGGAGGAATGTCGAAACATCGTCCACAAATCGTATGGGGACTTTTTTTTTGTTGGTTTTGTTTTTGACAAATTCTGTTTTTTTGCATATTTTTGTGGTACGTTTAATCGTTCATCCAAAATCCGCATGTAGGAGGACATGCCCGACCGAGGGCTCGGTTGAGGGAGGGCGGGATTGGAAAGAGCGGGAGCCCGATACCGCCTCCAGCCCTCCCAGGCCGGACTGCCCGGCCCCGGCGCAGCCTCCGTCATCCTCGGACGGACAGTGGCTCCGAGAGCCCCCGGGGGCATCCAGGGGCCCACGGGCGCCATCGAAGATCTCCGAGGACGCCCGAGAGCCTCTGCGGGCACCCCGGGGACCTCCGAAGGCGCCCGAGGGCGCCTCCAGTGGCGCCGGGGGCCTCCGAGGGCCCGCTGCGACCTCCGAGGGCCGGGGGCGGGGCGCTCGGGGGGGGCTCGCCGGCGCCCGCGGGCCTCCCAGAGGTGCCTCGGGAGGAGGCCTCGGAGGTCCGAGGAGCGAGCTGGGGGCGGGGAGCAGGGGCGGCCTGGCCGACCCCCAGCATCAAGTCGGGCCTGTCCCTCTACAGGAGGAAGGCTCAAAAATAGGCAAAAGATAGTTTGGGGTCGATTTTTCGACTATTTAGTAGTGTTAGTGCATGTTTTATGTATTTTAGATGATTCATAACTTTCCGAGCAAGACCCGCCTGTAGGGGGACACGCCCGACTGAATGCTATCCACGCGCATCATCTACGCATACGGGTGCCAGGAATGGTTCCTGCACAGGCTCCTAGACCACATGGTGTGTCATGCCAACCAACCTGCACGAGCGCCGCTTCAAGGATCGGAGATCCGCCACGATGTTCATTGCACAGGCGCCCTTCAATGGACTGTGTCTGGACCTCAGGAGGGGGGGTGGCGGGGTGTAAATCACCACTGGGAACCAGCGACGTGATACACTGCCACCCTCCCTGAAGGTACGTGTCACCACCCACCAAACCACCCCAACCCAACCAGAAGGCCACGATTTGCCCTCCATCGAACAAACACGTGGAACCCGTACCCCCCCCAACCCGAACTTCGGGTCGAATTTGGGTCTTCGGGCTGGGTTGGGGTGGTTTGGTAGGTAGTCAACGTGACGAGTTCGTCGGAGGGTGTCCGTGTACAGATTCTCGTGGCACAGGGAGAGGCCGCGTGCCCCACCCGCCTCGACAGGGCTGTGCGCCTTGCACTCCGGGGGCATCTGCACCGCACTGCGAGCTCGCCTCCCTCCCCACGGGGGCGGCAAAGAGGGGGGTGATGACTAGGGGGGGGATATCATGGCGGGGGCCATGATTTGTCCCCAGATTTCATGGCGCCTCTTCTTATTTCATTAGGTCCCTGGCCCTCCCGCTGGGCCGCACACATTCCGCCGTTCATGATTTGCCCCCCCCCCTCTTGGAAGCCCCCCTCTTTGCCGCCCCCGATCCCCCCTCCGCCTGCTGGGGGCCCGCGGGAACCTCGGAGGCCATATGGACCTCCAGGAACCTTTTCTCTTTTGCTCCCCTCCGCCTCCTGCGCCTCCTCCTTCGCCTCCTCCTCCTCCTCCTCCTTCGCCTCCTCCTTCGCTTCCTCCCTGCTCCACCTCATCCTTCCTGATTCGCCTCCTGCCCTTCGTCTCCTCCTGGGGGGGAAACGCAGGACTCGAGTTCGCCAGAACATGGGTTTGCCCCCGCTTTTTGACGAGCCCATCTTGGGTTTTCACCGTCGAGTTTTCGTGGGATTTTTTACAGCGGGAGCTCGCGTGAAACTGCAGACTGAGTCTCGTCATTTTTGTTTACGGCCTCGCCAAGCCAACCCGAGTCCACCGAAATCGAGTTTTTACGTTTCCCCGATTCGCCTGCCCCTCCTCCTTGCTCCACCTCCTCCTTCGCCTCCTCCTTCGCCCCCCCCTCCGCAGACCAGACCCAGCGCGGCAGCGGGTTGCGCGGACATCATGACCACGCCCCAGCGCAGCAAGGCCGCGTGGACGCAACATTGCGCTCGCTTTGCGGCCTCCTTTGGTCTGAGGTGGCTCAGCACAGGTTCCTGCCAGCAGGACGGGCGGGCAGGTTCGAGTTTTCTGGATTCGGTCGAATGCTTTTTGCCTTTTTCGGCTTCAGGGGGCCGTTTTTGGGCCCTCGGACCGTCAATCGGATCTTGGTTGAAAGTCTGCGCCATATGGACCCCAGGATGGGTTTGGGGTCCGATTTTGAGCGGATTTGTCTTCATCCCCCGTCCTGGTAGATCATCTGGGGCTCCAAGCAGTTCAGGCCTCCCAGCCGCCTCCAACAGCTTCCCCGTTATGTTATCTTTCCGCTAAACGCATGTCGACGATGCTAAATAATTCCCCCTCATGACCCTAAAGTCTGAGTATCTCTGTGCTCAATATGGCTCAAATTACCACGACAAGCTGGGGGACGAACTTTATTCTCACCCCCAAAGATCGCATCGTACCTCTCATCTTCATATCATGCACAGCACCATGAGTAATCCTAACTATCATGTTTGTGAGGATGTCAGACGGGAAGCGCGCCGAGTTCGCGACCATCAGCTTTTCGAGGATGTCTCAAGCAAAGCCTTGTTTTTTGTTTGTAAAACGCACTGTCGCGAACGTGTCATTTGTATGACCATGTTTCAGGCGACACGCTCCATCATGGAGGGTTTTGAAGACCGATCCAGACATCCTAACGTCGATAGCTCGGGAACAAGAACTATCATCCTTCCTGGACCCCGAACTTTATCATCTCTGCGGGATTGTTCTCGCCGGCACAGGGTTATGAGAAATGGGTCCTGTCGGAGATGAATTTTCATTTCGGAAGAACAATGATTGTTGATCCACCAGCTCGGTGCCCATCGATTTTCTTTACTTGAAGTGCCCCTGTCGGGGATCGCACCCAGTTTATTACCAGGGAAAGTCTTGAGTCTCAGACCTTAACTTTGGCCCTTCGGTTTGCAACAACAGCGGCTCCCGCCTGGCACTTCCTCGCGATTTATCTGCAATCGTATTCTAGCTCAAGACTTTTTCACCATCTAGTCAGGAATCGCGCTCTCGCCCAGGATATTCTGGACATTTACTCAGGCGTTGCGCTCTCGACGTCCAGAAACCGCTCTCTTGGGAGGAAGGTGCGACGACGCCATCAACGAGCACGAGGAGGAGGACGAAGAGGAGGAAAAACTGCAAACAAGTGGAGAGCGAGGAGGACGACGGCAGGAGTAAACATGAATGTCTTCGCGGATGTTTCGCTATAAGAGCCTCTTTGGATCCTATGGGAAGCTTATTGCAACCATCTTGGAGACGCCTCAAGCCCTCTCGGGGTTCACTTCGGCACTCTTTCGGCCGTCGTGGGCTTCTTTTTGGGGTCCCTTTGTGGGGGCGCTCTTGGGCCGATATGCTGCAGCACACCTTCGGAGGGAGGAGAAGCGATACCAACACCACCAGGGGGCCCACCGCCAGCGAGGAGGTCCACGATGCCTCTCCGAGCTGGAGGCTGGGGATTGAGGGGGGGACCACACCACCAGGGAGTTCCCCCTTGCCTCCGCGCATCTCCTCGCCCTGTTGTTGAACATTATTTATTCTAAAGAATAATTATTGTTGGGCCCCCTGGTGCGCGCCCCCCCTGCGCTGCCTAGGCCGCAGCTACATTTTCATCATTTTCGTGAGGAAGCCTCAGGTAAAACGATGTGATCCAGATCCGGTTGTTTTGTTGTAATCCGTTTTCCCTTGCAAAAAACACTATAAAATGACATTTCTTGTTCTAATATAATCAAATTTCAAGAATCCCTTGCAAAAAATAAGGTAAAGTGGACATTCGCGCGCGCAAGACGAAATCCTTCCAAAAGCTTAGTGTTCGGAGCGATTTTAACATAAAAACATCAAAAAACCAATGGTTTTTCAACAAAAAAATGTCAAAATCTCATCCCGCGCGCTCTTGCGGATTCGTAGGAAACCCAACACTTTTTAAACATTTCTGTCAAACGGGCTTTTGCGAGCAACTTTTTCGAACTTCTGCGACAACGGTTGCGCACCTGCCAGGGCCATCATCCCTGTCAAATAATACCATGCGGGACACATTCGTTTTTTCTTCGCGCGCGCACGCCGAAATCTCCAAAAACCATTGGGCTTCTTAAGAATTTTAGCACCGCGCATCATAAAATCACACGAATCGCACCGTAGGTCCTCGAAAAACACCTGCACGACTTTTCAAAATTTCCACCCGCGCGCGCTGTCCGAATCCTAAAAAAACCAATGGTTTTCCAACATTTATGTTACATGAGCTCGCGCGAGCTACTTTCGCACGCTCTTGCAACGGGGTTCGCGCGCCTGCCAGGGGCCAGAATCCCTTGCGGTTGCGCCATAGGTTGCGCCCTCGGCCGCCGAGAATAAAACGCCCCCCTATTGGTTGCGCCATAGGTTGCAACCACAACCATCAGGACAACCATCGGGACAACCATCGGGACATCCATCGGGACAACGATCGGGACCACCATCGGGGCAACCATCGGGAGAACCATCGGAACAACAATCGGGACAATCATCGGGACACTCATCGCGACAATTATCGGGACAACCACAACCATCAGGACCTCCAACCAGAGAGAGGTAGTCACGTGTATTTCGTCGACGAGTGAGCCAGTATTGCACATTGAGGCCGGAACGAGAACCACAGAACAAGAATGAACATATATCGTCTCACAACAACGGAAACAAGTCCTGTGGTATGCTGGCGCCACGCACGTGATACCAGTCAAAATAAGGGTCTTGGCTTGTGTGGTACAGAAACGTTAAAACGTCGGAAAACGGTACACGTGCCCATTGTTGGAACAGGGGTATAAGTCGTATACTAAGCTAGTTTCCACAAGATGTTACCACAAGAAGTCATTGTAACCATGCGCCAGTGTAGTAGCCAAGGTCGTCCGCAGGCCACGAAGTGAAGTGTCCGAACGTCATAGGGCGGGAAGCTGGGTGTGGGTGGTGGCGAAGAGTCGTTTGGAAACTTGGTAGAGCTTGAACCGGCCCCCCCACAAAGTGGGGGTATTGCCCGCCTCCTATGAAAACCCTGGCACTGGTGAGAACGGAGTGTCCCCAGTCTTAAATGATTGTTGTTGTTGTTGTTGTTGTTGTTGTTGTTGGTGTCGCCTTTCCTTGTTCCTAGAAACGGTGTTTTTGGGCCGTTTTCGTTTCAACGTCGGTTTGCGGCAAGGGCGGACTGAAGACAAAACGAGGGAAACCGAAAACAACACGAAAACGAAGCACACCGTTTAGGTTCAGCCCTGTGCCATCTCAGACGCCCTGTTGAGCTGTCTTGAGCCGTTCTTGAGCCGTCTTGGCACGACAGCCTCCCAGAGCGCCCCCGATGTGCCAAGTTCTTTCGAACACTTCTGGCAGGGTCTCGTTGTGTCGACCGGGGGCGACCCCGCCGCCGGCGTTCAATGTTGAACGCCGCCGGTGATCCAGAATCGGTCGATTCCCAACGATCTGACGTTTCGTTCAAGGTTGATCCCCGCGGTGTCAGATACCAACGCCGAAGTCGGCACGACACGAACCTGCCGTAAGGTGTTTCAGTGATGTTGGTTGTGGGGAGGCTCCGACTACAGTTGCCGCCCTTGGGCTCGACACGGTCGCATCTTGGAACCCTCTCGGGACGCCCTTGGGGCGCTCTCGAGCGCTCTTGGACCATCGTCTGACTCGTATGCACTTAGTGAGGACAGCCCCCCCCCCCCGCGCAAGGACACCCACTCCAGACCTGGTGATCCAGGGGGTCCTAGCTGGGAGTGTGGGTGTTTTGTGGGGTTCTTGGGGGCTAGAAACCACCCTCACCCCCAGCCAGGACCCCCTGGATCACCAGGTGGGGAGTGGGGGTCCTAGCTGGAGGCGGGGGTGGGTTGTGCTGTTCTCACTTAGGGTCTTCTTGTGCGATCTTGGGGCGATCTTGTTGCGTCAAGCCCATCGGAAGCGGAATGGCGAAAGGGCGCACATCATGCGTTCCCAGCCATCCTGCGGTGTTGGGTCCTCGCTTTTAATTCGGAGCGCCTCGCGTTCCTCCTCACTGATCGTCCCCAGGACAGGTCTGGGGTCCTGGACGAGTTTCCTTCAGGACCCCCTTCAATCATGCCAACCTATCTTTCTTTCTCTCTCGCTGTTCATGTCTCTCTCTCTGTGCTTGTGTACGTTTCTGTCACTCGCTGTCACTCTCTGTCTCTGTCTCTGTCTCTCTCTCTCTCGTTATGTTTCCTGTTCTTTATGATTGTCTCAATCTTTCTCTCGCTTTCTCTATCTCTTTCTTTCTCACACTCTCTGTTTGTGCGTCTGTTCGTCTGTGCTTGGTTCATTAAGTTTCTCTCTTGCTATGCCTGTCTGTTTGTCTGTGTGTGTGTGTCTCTCTCTCTCCTTCTCTCAATTCCTCTCTTCATTTCTCTTTACTCTCTCGTCCACCTCGTCTTTGTCGTTGGTTTGCTCCCCTCTTCCTCTTTCACATTCCAAGACTTTTTGTTTTTTTCACCATGTGGTCGACCCCTAC